GTGAGTGTAAAATGCTTGGATTCTTATGAGAAACCCTTTCCAGGTAGTAGGCTACCAACTTCTTCCATCCAAAAATGTTGGAAAAGAGTATAAGAGAGCTTTCTGAGGTGACTTTTGTAAAGATGTTAATCCCAGCGATGAAGGATCTGCTTTCCTAACCGAATCACTTCCCAAATGCCGTACCTCCTAATCACATGGGAGATTAGAAGTTTATCACATGAGTTATGGGAGAACAAAAACACTTCATCTGTAACACCATGTGAGGATAAGGGGACAGGTGAGCTCCTGCAAGTGAGGAAGAAGCCTCACCAAGAACCAAATCAGCCAGCACCTTCATCCTGAACTTTATAGTGTTCAGAACTGTGACAAATGCATTTCTGTCTCTTAGGCCATCCAGTTCATAGTTTTTGTTGCAGCAACCTGAGATAAGATACTGGATAATTCCTTTCTTGCTCTTGGAAGAGCGAATAACCATAAGTCATAGGAGGCTTTTGATGTTGTCAAGATCAGGGCTTCTTCGCAGAGATAATTGAGATGATATAAAAATCTGTTTTTGTTGTTGTTGTTGTTTTTGTTGTTCATTTGTTTCAGAGCCTGGGAATGAAGACTGCAGGGCCTTGAATGAGGGCCATGAAAGGGCAAGTAAGGGAGTTGTATGTAAGACAGAAGTCTGAATCTCTGGTTAAGGGATACATGTGAGGTTGGCGGCCAAGGTAAAAGGAAGCTGGGAAAGAATTTCCTGGAAGTTTCTGGAGCAATAGCTGTATGAAGTCCAGGCAGCAATGACTGGCTTATCAAAGCAGGCTGTCCTTTGGTACTGCACAGATTTTCCTGTGAGATGGAAGTTTGTACTTCCTAAACCTCAAAGGGGCATTTTATCACTTTGTTGTGTTCCCCTGATTTGGACACAAGAGCATGACAGCTTGTGTTTACCAGGAAGGTGGCATCTCTTGAATAGAGTTAAGGACATATACTGGGATCACCATCTTGGATGGAAGGAAGTGAGCCTGGGAAAATGGAAAAGTTGTGCTGTGATGCGGCCTTTGGAAAAGGCTTCCTCATAGGGAACTTTGAAGCTGGCATGACCCTTTATACACATCCCACCTTGGAGAGATAGAATCAGACATTTATATCCTCACATCTAGTGGTCATTGCATGGAGTTTGCCCTGAGAAAGGTATGTGACCTTGTGCTACTTGTTTCTATTTGGCCATGCAATGCCTGAAAGCTAAGGGCTCTGCACTGGGAATGTGGTAGTTGTCAGGATAAGTCTGTTGGTCCTTCAGTTCCCATGAGGCTGACTAGGACGTGCTGATATATCCAGAGGATTGGGGTAGGAATATTTCCATTACATTGCAAAACTAAGATCCAAGCTTGGATGAGGGAAGAAGCTTGGAAAATAACTCTCAGTGCAACAATATCTTTCCAGGTACATATTTTCCTGTGATGGAACCAATGGTTAGATTCCATATTATACTATTATAGTCATTTGAAATAGGCTTTCTGTGCATTGGCAGCCTGCTTTCCAAAGGAATAGGATTCAACCAAATAAGATGACAATACACAAAATAGCAATTATTATCTCATTAAATTTGGATTTCAGCAAATTCCTTGGATAACTTGATTTTTGCCTTTATTCTTACATATTTACTCCTATGTGTGTGTGGGAGGGCCGTACTTCGATACCTGAAAGACAGCTCAAGATCTGACTAAGTTGAACCACTGGGCCCTGGGCCCTTGTCCCTTGGTATTTTTGGCTTCTGAGCGTCCTAACTTGGGATGGAAGAAAGGGTGGGAATCATTACATTTGAATTTTTTATCCTCAGATTGTCTTTCTATTGGTACAATATGAGGTATTTGCGAGAAAGGAAAATAAGGTTAAATAAGGAGTCAGATACAAAGATTTCCACTTCATTTTATGAGCTATTAGAACATTATGCCTTTTTATTTGCCACATAAGAGATTTATTTCCTAATCAAACAGGGTATTGTGCGTGTCATCCAGAAATGTGTTCCTGTTCATTTCACAGCTCCAAAAAGGAGTTGACAGGAATCAGAAGAGAAGAATTGTAGCTAAAGCAGGAATAATAGGAAGAAAAAAAAATCAATGTGGAGATGTAATTGAAAGTAAGACTGCTGCTGGAGGTACCTGAGAGGTAACATTGTGAACAGAGAGCAAGCAAGATCCAGCAACTGCAAAACTGGCAATTCACTGATGCGCATGTCTCTCCCTCCTGTGATAATGCTAGCCTCAGATCGCTGATAAGACATTATCAGACACGCTCATTCAAATAGGAGTCCCTTCAAGTTTTTTCCACATCCTTTTGTTTTGTTTTGTTTTGTTTAGTTTTACTTTACAAAGAGTGCCTTGTGACCTGGAATGAATCCAAGGATGTGACTTTACAACTGTTATAACTGGACCAGGGCACGTTCGATCCTGTCTTTTTGATGGTCTTAGCAACAGAATTCAATTGCCCAGGGTCAGCCCATTCAATCAGGGTACTCCTGAGCGAACAGTGCCCGGAAACACTGACACAACCAGGAAAACTCATCTTGTCTCTTCAATTTCAATTACTAGAGGAAAATATAGCTAAGAGGACTATTTATTTTCCTTTATAAAATGAGAGCTATTAAGAACATTTTAATGTACCTTTATTGGAAAACTGAGTACTATTTGTGGGCACTAAAAAAACAAAAACAAAAACAAAAAAACAAAATAAGAGAAACACTTACTCCTCTTACATTACCCCATGAGGCCATTTGCAGAGTTGGCCTATCAATTCCAGCAGAATCAATACTCCACTATGATTTGAGTCAAGAGACCTAGATTGTGTGACCTTGGGCAAGTCACTTAATCTCTCTGCCACAATATATGTGAAAAAAAAAATAAATCTAACCACTTCATGAAGGGAGAGTAAGATTAATGATAGGAGATTTTCTAAACCATTGTCTCTGTGGCTGTTTTTCCCACTCCCTGGTTTTGCGTATGTGGTTTTTAAAAATATTTCTCTTTTAAATCCAAATTCAGCCACCCACATATCGACACAAAGACAAAACCCATTCTAAGTGCAAGAGGGCAATGTCTTCACTCAGCGAAATTTTAAATCTCTGAACTATGGTAAACCTTATAAGTGCTCTCTCTTTCCCTTTTGTGGGAGGAAAAGGAAGGCAACAAAGCAGTCCATTTGGAAAGAGTCCTTGTATACAAATTACTCTTTTTATTCTGGGTGATTCTGTGGCTTCTTGTTCTAAGGCATCCTGTTTCCTCAGTGCCACCATATTGGACTCTCCTTTTTCTCTCTATTGTTTAACTGCCACATAATGTAACTGATGGCATAGACTGCTCTTGCTCACTAGCTCGGCCCTCAGTATTCTCTCCTGAATATGCACACCTCGAGTGTCTGTCCCACACCCTCATAAGCTGACTGCATACAGGTAAGAGCACTACTACTTGACAGTGAATGACAACTCCATCATGACATCAGTTTGCCCAGTTGCTGTTCTGATTCTCCTTTTGATATCAGAATTACTAAAAGTCCAGCCTCTTGTTCCTAACCAGGACAATACTTTATCATTTTTACTAAAACTGCTGTCTTTTTTTCCCCTCCATGTGGAGACCCTTTTTATTTCTTAAATATGAGCATTAAAGTCAGGTCTTACTTCTCTGGTTAAAATTATTCTGCTGTATACCTAACTTAGCTTTCCCATTTTCCTGGTTTCAACTATCATTTTAATGTAGATGATTCTTTCATCTACAACTTAGATATTCCAGCCTATTATTTCATTTAAAATATCCTTTCCTAGCATTTGCCAATCTAAGAGCATGTATTAAATACTGACTTGAGAGGGTAAACTGTGAGAGATCTAGAATATCATATTAATACGTTTGGGTTTTTTCAAACAGTGGGAATTAAAGATATTGTTCACGTCTTAGGGGAGTATATTGTTTACTTTTAACAAGTAGATAATTGGTTGCTAGGCAAAAGGCTGGGGTTTCCCAGGTCAACTTTTGTGATCTGTCAAAGTGTTTCCAAGTAGATGCCATTACCATACTGCAAATAAAACCTAGATTTTCATCGGCACTTGTAATGCAGGTATTTTCTACATTCCAATTGATGTAACTTCCTGAGTTACTGGCCTTAGCTTAAATGAAGAAGAATGTGCAAGACTGGCCAATGATTGTTCCTTTTTACTCAGCTTCGCAATTGGCTTTTCAATTCATGCACATTTCTCTTGGAAGAAAATGGTTCTAGATTTCTAGATTTCAGTGCAATTGCGATTATTCACATTTTCTGTGCTTTCAGACGTAATTGGAAGACGTATTATTTGGAAGTGCAGGGGAGCTAAATTAACCACAGATAACTAGTTCTACTATAAAATGGAAATCCTTTATGATTGTTATTTTCGAAAGGTCCCTGCAAATAGATGTGCAAAATAAAAAAAAAATGGACATATGGACTGCACAGAGTTAAGAATGCGAAGAAGTGGCCACTGTTGGATCACACATATAAAATGAATATATGCCTCACTCTGCACACCTGCTTCTTTTGGTTCCTTGACAACGTAAGACTTCTTTCTCTCTCCGGGCTTGCACACAGGCTGCTCTCTTTGGATAAACGTCTCACCCCATCTGCACTTGTATATCCTTCTTTCTGGATCTTAGATCCCATATGTCTAGGCTTAAATGTCACTTCCTCAAGGGCTGTTCAAATCTCACAGTAAAAATTCGATTGAAACTCACAGTGCAAACTGCATCTCATAATTTCCTTCAAGATGCTTCTCACAACCTGAAATTCTACAATAGTTCGATCAGTGGTGTAATATCTATTACCCACTTTAACTTCAGCCCTAGCTGCAGAATGTATACTCTGAAATGGCTTTAGGGGTCTGAAACTATATTGAAAGTTAAGCATAGTTTCTTGCATTTGATAGGAGATTGGAAATAAATGCTGTTAAATGACTTGTGAGTACACAGAAAAGATTAAGAACGAAAATAGCCTGTTTTTTAATGAGTTTTATATACATTATATAAAGCTATACATAAAGCTTCATGTACTTTTTACTGCTTATCTATTTTTACAAACATTACTTTTGAAATAATGGTCGCTACATGAGGCGGATGATACCATAAAGCCCAAGATCTTTATGCCCTCAATCAATTTCAAATCTTTTAATCTGGAAGGAATTGCTGCTGACAAAGCAAATCATCCAAGAGAGAAAATGCTCAGAGCAATTCTGAAACAGAGATTTGTCTATTACTGCCCCCAAATAATTGCAAGACATTGGTGGTGAAAACAAATTCCAAAGAATCAGGTGGCTGTTATTCATTGAGTACATATTTACCCGAACACATCAAATTCCCATGGCATTTCCTCACTGTGCCTCACTAGTGAGAATTTAAGAGTAAATATTATTTCTTTAATCTTTTCAGATTACCAATGTATATTCCATGCAGTGGTTTTTGATTCTGAAATGTGCAAAATTTGTTGTAAGTTTATTGAATTCTTTCGTTAAAGGTTCTGGAATGGTTTTCTATTTAAAGAAATCATTTGACCAAAGCCTCATAAGGACCTATTTATAACATGAATAATTGCCTTTAATTTGTCTCATTTGCCAGTAATTATCTGGCTATTGAATTTTCTCAAAGAGGGGCTCAAGTGCAGAAGGCTATCTGAGCACAAGGCAGAAAAATCTCCTTAAAGAATTTCTAACACAGCCTAAATCCTAGGGAAACATAATTTCATCTTGTGCCTTTACTAGCAGTAAAGAGAAAGAATGCAGTTAGGAACCTCTAAGAAAACCTCACGTTTTTCCTAATAAAAGAACACCGGAAAACAAAAATAATGTAGCATCTCTAATCTAGATTAAAACTACATGGTCAATAGAGGAGAATTATTGTGATGTAGAAATAAATCTCCAGGGCATAAAGGACCTTCAGTAGAGAGGGTGGTTACCAAAATGCTGCTTTAACACTAAGCATAGAGTGTTCAGTCTGAACAGCCTGAGATTGAGTCCAGCTCCTTTGTTTCAAGCCTTGCACGCCAGTGTAGAACAGAGAGCACAATAATTCCATCAATTTATAGAGATGCATGTGATGTTGCATAAAGCTCTTAGCATAGTACCTTTCATACAATAAGCAATCGACAGTTTTAAGCCATTTTATTTTTACAGATGTTTCTTTGCTTAATGAGTGAATAAAAACCATGGAAGAAAGCTACTAGTGGGACTATATGAATGTTTTATAATGGTTATATATTTATATAACATAAATAAAGGTGTTTTCAATGAGGATGAATAAATGATTGAATAACTACTTCTGTGAGATAGTGAGTAATTTATGTGTGCATGTGTGTGATTTTCTAAAGAGAAAGGAAGAAATCTTATCATAGTGGCCAAGTATTAATGATCAGCCAATTATTTTCTGATCTCAGTGGTTACCAGGTCAGTATGGTCAGGTTCTAAGTGAAAGGAAGAAAAACAAAGGAGAGGAAACAAAGTAGAGGAAAAATAATATCCTTAGTTGGATTTTATCTCAAAGATATTGTGTGTGTGTGAAATTAATTGAATAGCTACATTTTATTTCCCTAGAAAGGCACAACTCTTTCATGTAGCTACTCGAAACCCCCAGATGTGACCCTATGCTGATTTCAAACCAATTTCAGGCAACAACGATGTGTTAAGTTGTCATTCTGCTTCTTTCTGTGGCGTGTTAGCAAATTCTTCAGGAAGAGTTCACTGTGCAATTTCTAAGAAAACCAACAAGCTGTTAAATGAAGTAAATATCTGTTTAATTTACAAACATCAGTAGTGTAACTGATATCAGTCTGGAGAAAGACAAAGCACACTGAATTATACATGTACATCTAATTTTCTTTGTAAAAAGAGGTTTTTTTTCAGGGGGTGAGGAGCAACATCTGCATCTTTACAGGGCACCCTGGGATTGTAATAAGGGTAGAGTACAGTCCACTATAAATCAGTATCAATTCTACATTGCAATTTAGCAGCAAATATGTTAACATAGGGACATTCAGGTAATGAAGAAGTTTTATTGTTTGGGGGAAAAAAATCTTACAACGTTTGACATGGTAGTCTTCCTTCCTCCCACTCCTGTCCCCCAATAAGAGGGCAGAACCCATGAAGAAAATATGAATTTGTAAAAGATCTACTCCTAGTGCCAATTGCTACACACCATTTCTTTGCTGTGGGGACAAACCTCAGAGGGGTTGCCTCTGCCTGTGCAAGGACAGACTCACATACAGAGATGCCTTTTCTCCTCCTGGACTTCCCGTGCCCCCTGCAGGTGTGCTGAATGAGCCAGTAGGCCAGAGACACCAGTGGTCACCTGTCGAGGTCAACAAACAGACCAACATACATTTATCCAGAGATAACACTCTATGTTAGTATTATTGCAAACAGAAAAATCCTGATTTTTTTTAAGTTTGAAAAAATTTACAAAAATATCAGGATAATTATAAATTAATATATATTAAAGCATCGAGAAACAGCAAAAGAAGGGTCTAAAAACGTTAAGTACAATGTACTTTGATACAATAAATATTCATCATGAAACTGAATACTGTATAGGGCTGTTTAGAACGCATAGAAACAAAAACTCATATTATTACTAATTTATTTATCAATAATCTATTGGTTCTTTTATCATTTCCTTTATCACTTATATTACAAAAATTAATACTGGAAAATGGTAGATAATCACTCTTGTGTGCTGCTTCTGCTGACATGCTGACATTTAAAAAGAAGGTAAAATGTATCATAGCGCTCCACTCCCATTTCCTCTTGAGAATGGAGCCCGGATCTTCGGGACACTTTCTATTTCGCATAAGCCTTTGCTCATCCACTCCCTGTATCTGTGAATTCCGGGGCTCCATTCTTTTGCCTGACAGACTCACTCACACACGTGTGCTTCAAGTGTCTTCGGAAACTGCGTGGGTGTGGATGAGGGACACAGGTTTTACGCTCCGGGCGACCACATCAGTGCACATTAGCTCATCAGTCCCTGGGTACTGAATGTGCTGCTGCTCGTCTTCAGCTTGTTCAAAAGTTGAATCCTCCCTTGCAATGGTCCCCATCGCGGCTCTAAATCTTCCAACTATAGCTCTCTTCACGCTTCATTTCAAGCATGTCTTTTATTCTTTTTTTTTCCAAATGCAGAAAAAAAGTCTTTATTCTCATAATAAAAATAAGTCTGTTCTGTATTTTACAATATATCTCAAATATTTCCACTATGAAGCATGAATTAGTCCAACCTGGTCAAGCAGTACACGGTACAACCCCCGCCAGGACGCGCTCTTAGGAGGCGCACCTCGTACAGCCGCACTTCACCACCTTCTCAACCTCGCCCACGAAGGAAGACCCGTCCGTGCACTCGAAAGAGTATTTCCGCCGCTTGTTCCTCAGAGGCCCACAGCACTGCCCTCCGGCGCACCCGCCTCTACACTCCAAGCGGGAGACCTTCCTGGTGGTCTGGCAGGCGGCGTAGCCCTGCTGCTTTTGGAAATAATCTCTTATCCGTTCCCCTCGGCAAGAGATTTCTAGAAAAAAAAAAAAAAAAAAAAAAAAAAAAGAGCGAGCGTTTTTAAGGACAGGCCAAGGGACCACGAGTGAATCCACTTCTCAATCGAGTGGGCACTGTGTTGCTTCTCTCCCTTTGTAAATGCAATTTTTAGTGTTAAGTTACATAATTTGGACTGGTGGCCCGGCCTGCTGTGCTGTGAAGAATACTTCTTTTGGGCTTTTATTTCCAGCAAAGTGAATGCCCTCTAAGTAGACTATAAATACCATGCGATTGCACTGACAAGAAAATTGGATTCTTAAATCTTTCCCTTTATTGCAAAAAAAAAAAGGAAAAAATACACCTTCTGTTTTTACACTACTAACAGCTGGTTTTGTTTACCACGGGGGAGTAGTTTCAGAGAGAATGCAGTTTAATTTATTAGACCTGGGGTTTAATATTATCCAATCTGTTACTTAATACAAGTAACATTCCACTAACTTTATAAATTACCCTCAGATGAAGTAGTTCAAAAAAAGAGACATCTGCTAAAAGCTTCGGCGGGCACGTTCCTCTGGTGAACGGAACAAAGTCCGTGCCAGCTGGAGGCAAGGAACATCCTGACTGTGGAGACAGGGGAGAGGGAGAGCGGGGCCAAAAAGTCAGCCAGCCTCCTTCCATCCCGCTCACCTGCCTAATTCGCTGTGATAAATCCGTCCATTGTAAGGTCAAGGGTGATTGTGTACAAAAGCCAGTGCAGAATTATTAGCTGCATCTTTGCATCTCCTCTGTGCCAGGAGCTTAATAACTACTAGATGTGGATGTGAACAACAGCTAAGGTAGCAGGTAAGTAAAGGAAACGTGCTGCCATCATCAAAGGTAGAGAAGAGAATTCACAGCAAATCAAGCTGAGACAAGCGCTCTCAGCGCCCTGTAAAATCTTACTGCGGAAATTTAGGATCTTTCACATCTGGTGCACTTAAAAGTACAACAGCAGCAACTGTAAATAATACAAAGACTCGGTGTTTTCTCCCGTCACTCCTGTCTGTTTTTTTCACCCTTTCTCTTTTAGCAGACAAGGCACACCCCTCTTGCTGGGCGAAGAGCAGCGGGTGCTGGCTTACCTCGATCACAGCTGTCCCCAGTGTAGCCACTGCTGCATTCGCAGTAGGGCTGCCCCAGTCCTGAGAGCCTGCATTTCCCATGCTTGCACTTGATCGTCTGGCAGGGGTTGAACAGATCCTCCTCTTCGTCACAGAGGACACCTCCATGTCCCTCCAGGCATTTACAGCTGTAGGAGAATGCGTTGATGGGCAGGCAGGTGCCGTGTACGCATCTAGAGGGCGGAGGGACACAGGGAAGAAAGTGCATTCAGCGGGAGAGGTAAGATATGGCTCAGAGGGGCAACGGGTTGATTTCTTTCCCTCCTTCGCTCCCTCTACTTTCCTTCCTACTTCTTCTAGGTTTTACTTTGAGGGTTGAGCTCATGTGTTCAAGGATCCCGAACTTACTTATTTCCCATACAAGGGTCATTGGTCCTCTGGTCACAGACGGGTCCCGTCCATCCCTCTTCACACTCGCAGGTGAAGCCTGACTGTCGGCTGGGCTGGCACGTGCCATGGGCACACACCTTCTTGTGGCATGGCTCACAGCCCGGCAGAATGCCTGTCTGCATGGGCACCTTCCGGAAGTCCTGCAGCTCGCTGTTGATGTACAGGTTCCGGATGCAGCCATGGAAGCTGGTGCCGTTCTGCCCTGGAGTCTGGCGCAGAGAGGCCACATTGTTCTTCCCAGGCATGCCTGGAGAGGGACAGCACGGAACAGGTCAGGCTGTCTGTCGAGAGTGTCCTCAGCCATTTGACACCCAGAAATATGGATGCTTGGGAACTCAGCCCCACTAAATCAGATATCTGGGTGAGTGAGGTCTGGGATGGAGAAGAGAGATGTGGTTCAGCTGTGCTTCTGGAAGAAGTTCCGGGTATTTCTAATGCACAGTTAGAATAAGGAGCCAAGTTCATTGGGGGTCAATATTTAATTTTGAAGTTTCTTTCACACAAAACTTTGCACAGAAACAGACGTACATGAAGACTGCTGTGTGAAGACAAAGCCGAGGGGGAAGATTAGTCTGTCTGCTCTCTCTGGCTCTCTCATTCCAGACAGCACAGACCCCTTGAGAAACCTAAAGCTCAACAGAACAGTTTGTAGCCCCTAATTCTGCCCTTTATTTTAAAGAGGACGAGCCAGGACTCAAAGAGAGCCATTGGGAGCTCAGCATCTCCCAGCAAGTTCTGGTTATAATGTGACTAAGGAGAGGAACCTCCCCAGTCTTCAAGTCAAGGTTCAGTCCATCTGTGCTCAGGGAGTGAGAGCTGTGTTCAAAGCAACCACTCCCCCGTCCCGTGAAATCTCAAATTGCCAAGGAGCTCAGTGCACCAGGGGCAACATCCCCAGCTCAGTCAGGGAAGCCAGTGCCTAAAAAGCCCAGCACTGCTTCTTATCAGCACCTCATTCACATCGTGTACTTTCCTTGCTAAACTGAGAGTGAAGGCTTCATATTCAAAAAATTGGGTCTACAAAAGGAATTCGTTCACAGACAGAATATTTTCAATACTGGCACAAATACATTCCACTAGTACAGTCATCTGGTAACTCTCATTTTGGCAAAACTGAAGAATCTTTCCATGGCCTGAGCCAGACCCTGAAATAGTTCCTGGATGGCATCCTATGGGAGGCAACCGTCCAGGTCCCTGGAGGCCTTTGGAGGGGCTGACTTTCCCCTGGTGCTTGTGACCCCACCACGCACGGACACTGTACTACTGCCTGGAGGACTAGGGGTGGGAGACCCAGGCCCTGACGCTCTGGGGAACTTTCTGGTTATAGACAGTGGAACCACAGCACTCTGGGCCGTTCGCGCTGCCACGTGCGCTGTTCTCTTTCACATCAAAGGAATCATTTGAATCTTTGCAGGCACCAAAGTCAGGCAGATATGTGAAAAAAGCTCCAGGCAAGGGGTCACGTCTTTAATTTTGGTTTTGAGTGCATCTGGCCAATCATTTCCCTTCTCTGGGGCTTGGAGTTCTCTATATCATGCGCGGATGGACCAGAGTAATTGTGTCCACTCTTGTCATACATGAGGACCACCTGTGGTGTGCGTTACCAAGGCTGTTTCCCAGGTCTCTCCGCATCCTGAAGTTCTGATCCCAGAGGGCAGAAGACAGATGCAAAAACTAAGTGCCAAATGCAGCAGAGTTGATTCTGATGCAGGTGGCTCATGGTCACCCTTGGACAAGTGCTGAATTACACATCTTGGCTTTGAAGTTCCAGAAGCACAACCTTTTAGTATATGTCTATCTGGCCTTGGAAACTAGGTTACTACAGCACAGTCATTTCCAGGAAAGGATGAGTGACCTGAAATTCTCTGCTTTGGGTAAGTCATTCTATCTCTGATCCTATCCATCCATCATCAGAAACAGGTGGGCTTTAGCATCCACATGTTGCTGATCTTTTCTTCACAGGTGAAAAATGAACTTCTCCCCAAACAATCTTGAATAGCTCATTTGGATGGAGGCACAATGCTCACATGTTTGTAAGTCAAGACTAAATACAGACTGACAGAGTTCCACAGCAGGAAAAAAGAACTGGTGCATGTGTTCTTTGCAGTCCCAAAGCACACAGTTATAAAGGTCTACTTTTGATTACGATAATTTTTTAATGAAAATGTTTTGCACACCATACATACAATGGACTTTCAACAAGACATATACAATCAGAAAATATTCTCAGTATTCGAGTTATTAAAAATTTTTAATGCTGAGGGCTGAATGAAAGGCCTCATGCCTCTTCGTGCTTAGAAAGCATGCACTCACCACTGAACGGCACCCCCAGCCAAGAACTCTTCTGAGTCAACCTTTTCATGTGCTTGGTTAGGAAACTATATTCAACTCCTAAATAAAAGTAGATCCATGACTTTTTTTTAAAAGAAGCCCTTCCTGTAAGCCATGGTTATAGAAAAAGTTCAATGAATGAACAGATAACTCAGAAGACAGTTCTGAACCCTAGCAGACTCTACATGCATCAAAATGACAGGAAAGGGACCAAGTGTCGATGCTGAGATCTTTTGTCTAACAGAAACACCAGGAAAAGATTTGTAATTTATGGCCAGATATCTGTGTCTGTGTCTCACTCCGGCCTAAACCCACAATTAGGTAATGAATGTTCTGGTTTGACTGCTATGCAGAAAAACACAAGGATCACACTGTGATTATGTTACATAAACACCGTATCATGGGGGTAGTTAACACCCCGAGAAGAGTCTATCCGCTTGCAGAGAGCAGAGGCCCAGGAGGCAGGAGCTCTAGGCAGGTCTCCTGGAGGTGGCCCTGTTTTTAAACTGGCCCTATTCACCACTCTTCCCTTTGCTGACTCAGCCCCTCATGCCTCTGCAGTGCTGCATTTAAGATTGTGATCTCACACTTTCTGTGTTTTACAAATTTTCATCACCCCTGAGACCGTACCACTCTCTGAGATGGAAGGCAGAGGGCCCAGTGTTCTCTGGCAGTGAGGCCCGGACGAAGGTGGTTTCTTTGTTTCAGGCCTGGGTAGACAGAGGTGCTGTTTGGATGCTGCCAGTCTCCCTACCGTCAGAAGCAGCAGCACTCTTCGTTTTGGTATTTAACACTATTTAGTTTTCCTGTTTGAAAAAGATTCTAACCTAAGCAATCTCATCCTGTATTTAATTATTATTTTTCTTTTGCACCATATTCCAAAGAGGGTTGAAAATAAAACTGTTTGTCATGAAAGCATTACAACATCTACTGAGGCACAAGTCCAGAAATAAACAACTAAAAGTCACATAGCTTGGATTTCTTCACTTTCTGCTGTTTTTTTTTTTTTTGTAGCGGGGAATGAACTTGGGTCCTTGCGCTTGCAAGGCAGGCCACCGAACCGCTGAGTTAAATCCCCAGCCC